ACCCGGGGGGGGGGGGGGGGGTTGCGGCGACTCTTTCGTTTCGCGTTTTGACTACTCATTGGCTGCAAGTTGTAGATGGGCATTTTTTTTTGTAACCCTGTTGCCTTGTTTGGGGATTTGTTTGTTGTGTGTGGTGGTGGCTTGCAGATGGACGTGTTTGCTGCAGCTGTTAGTGTGTCTTGGAACGCTTTCCTGGCCGCTGCGCTGCGCAATCTTATCTCTCCCACCCCCTCGGCCTCGCTCGATGTGTCGCGCGATCTGATTGGTTGGCCTCACGTGTCGTTGTTGTTCGTATGTGTTCTTCACTCCCGTGAACGTTACGTGTACGTGTGTATCGCAGCTGAAGCTGGAAGACGCCGTGCAGCTCACCGTCGGGAACGAGGCCTACATGCTGTTTTCCTACGACAAGGTAGGAATTGCTGCTGCTGCTGCTGCTGATGTTGTTGTACAAGACAGTTTTATTGTAGTTGTTGTTGTTGATGGTGATGTTTTATTCACATCAGTAGAAACCATTCCAATCTGTGCTCAATGCCTTATGTAACATTTGTACTGGTCCATCTGACGTGGACGCGGTTTGCCTACGACAAGGTGCGGTACGAACGTTGTTGTGGTCTTGACGTTAGAATCCGTTCCGATCTCGGCTCAGTTCCGTCGAACATCCGCGCTGGTCCAACTGACGCGGACACCTTGCATGGTCGACGCCTAACTACGGATGCTGTATTTCTTTCCCCCCCTCAACCAACACAAATCAACTTCTCTTTCCACGCTCATTTTTGTTGTTTTTGTCTTGCGCTAGTCGTCTATATACCCTAGACCTCCGGTCCGCCGTCATCCTCGTGTCGCACCAAAGCAGCCGGCCTTTTTTCCTTTCTGTTCTTCTCGCGTTAAAGCAGCAGCCGGTGCTCTTTGCTCTAACTGTAATATTGTCGCACGAGCCTCCCGCCGTCACGGGCAGGAAGAAGCAGTTGCATCGCCTCGCCCTTGTCAGCAGGTTACGCAGCGGCCTCTTATCTGCTCCAACCACCTTTTCGGTTTGTTGATCGACCCTCGGCAATCAGTAGTCGTACGTCGCGAACGGTCTTCATCTCGGCTTTTCTTCTGAATGTAATGTTTTTCTCCTTGCGGCGTAAGGCCTCTTGAATCGAAACCCGTCGAACAACGAACACAAGTGGTTGTATCTCGTAAGCCACACAACGGCCTCGTGAATCGAAACCCTGCATTGAACAACGAAGAAAGTGATTTTATCTCGAACGGGTATTGGTCTCTCTGCGTTTGTATATATGTTTTCTAAAAACAAGACATTTTTGTGTTGGAGAAAACAGAAACAACACGCCTGTCGGCTAATCGAAAAAGTGTCCACTTTTTGTTGTGTCCTGGCTGATCCCGATCGCTTTTGTTTTTGTTTTCTCATGATTCTGATCGCTGTTTCTCGAACGGGCGGTAGTCTTTCAGACTTTGTACGTATTTGTTCTAAGAAAAACGTTTTTTGTCGTGGAGAAAAACCCGTCTGTCGGCTAATCGAAAAATGTCCGCATTTTGCTGTCCCCTGGCTTTTCCCTATCGATGTTTTTTTTTTATTCATTTTTTTTTTCCTTCAGGTTATCAACGCTTTCTTGCGGCAACTCAAGCTGGTCGTGGACGACGATTCCTCCCTCAAGATGCTGCAGCTCTTCGAGCACCAGGTGCTTGCTGCAGGACAATCACCGCGTTGTTGCTCTTGTTCAAACCTCCGGTTGCTTTGTCTTTCACCAGCGCTAATCCCGGATTGCCGTTCCAGAACCGTTTTTCCACATGTTATTGTATTCCCACAATGGTATTATTTTATTATTTTTACCTTTTATATGCTTGTTTGCCCCTCCATTGTCGTGAAACCATTCGTCCCCTCCATAAAACCTCTCGTTTCGCAAGGAATTGTTGTGCTTGACCTTCACAATGGCGCACCAATGCCACAGGTTCAGAGTCGTGTCATCCACGTATACGTGGGGGGGTAATATCATAGCAGGCCCATGGGTTGGAGATACATGTAGGCGTCGTGCGATGTGCCGGGCTCTCTGCTGGTCTGTTACACGCTTGTTTGCTACAGGTTGCCTGGGTACTTTTTTTCTGAAACCCTGCCCATCAAGGCCCGATATTTCGTCCGTCAAGGTTATTCACTCCGCATCTGCCTGCACGTCGTTTTTTTTTTTTTTTTGGCGAGCAGGCCGCGCTCGGTGCGTTCCAGCCGGCGCGATTGCTTTCGGAGTGCCGCAAGGTGCTCAAAAGCAAGGTGGACAACCTGTTCAGGTAGGAGAAGTCATCCAGCATGGCGCACGCCGGTGTGTGTGCGTATGTTGTGTTTTTAGTTTTGGTGATGCAGAATGGGCATGAAAATTGCTCCTGTCGGTTTCCTCCTCGTTCCACACGAAAGGTACCTTATTTTCTCTTTGCGGTTGGCGTGGGCACCCTGCAGTAGTCTTGGGTCTGAGATTCGAGCGACGTCTTGCCTTGGGTTCAGTTGCCTGGATTGATACGGATTCAGTGGTACAGTTTTGGAATAGCATTGAATGTTGTCTTGGTTTCGAGGGGTCCGGTTCGGTTGGTTTGGGTCGATGGGTGTGCAAGGAAGGGCGGACCGAGAGGGACAAAGACGGAGGCAGAACGAATAAAGATAGGGGAGTGATACAATGATAGAGGTAGAAGCAGGCCGAGACAGAGACAGAGAGATAAGAGAGATAAAGGTCATAATTGAGGCAGAGGCAGAGATACAAGACATGTCTTATTTTCCCGAGCGTTCTTTCTCTCTATCTCTTCGTTTCTCATCTCTTATGTTTCTCTCTCTCTCTCTCTCTCTCTCTCTCTCTCTCTCTCTCTCTCCTTTCTGTCTTGACGTCTCCGCCGCTTGTTTTGTCTCCCAACCGTCAAACAGGCTGCAGTGGTCGACCGCACCACCACCATCATCATCATCATCACCACCGTCGATACCAGCCGGGGGGGATGGGGGCGCTTCCCTCCTCATCGAGCTGGTCGTGCCCAACTCGACCTGCAGCGGCAGCAGCAGCAGCAGCAGCAGCAGCAGCAGCAGCGGGACTGGAGCCACCCTGGCCGTACCGGAGGTGTGTTGTTTTCCGTTGTTGTGGACGGTGTTACGAGCTCGATGCTGCTGCTGCTGCTGCTGCTGCTGCTGGTGTTGTCGCCTGGACCGCGTTCGCGAGCAGTCAAGTTTTCGGGGAAATGGAACAGGGAGGGGGGTTCGCAGACCCTATCATCCCGAACCCTATGCCCAGCTTTCCCGATTGCACGCTTTGTCCAACATGTTTGCTTGATAGAAAAATCCCTGCGAAGGCTGCTATGTTTCGCCTGGGCTGGTCTGTGTCTGCCCTTGCTCCGTATCGCCCGGCAGAGGTGCGCCGGTGAAACCCGTTTGTATACCCCGCCGCCGCCGCAGCCGCTCAAAACGCGTTTGAGCTAGTGTGGAACACCGGCGCCATGTATACTGGAAATACCACCTAAACGCTGCTCAAACCCAAACCAGGGGCTTTGTTTTTTTCTTCAAGGAAAGTCGCGCACTCTTGATGCCCGTGTTTGCCGTGGGGAATGCAGCGCGGGTGTTCCACATTGATGTGGACCATGGATGTGGACCTCATGGCATGGGACGGATCACAAATGGTTACCTCCCACCCCTCTGTCTCTCCCTCCCGATATGCATTCCCTTGCATACCTTGCACGAACACTGCTGTCGTCATGCATTCCCTTGAAAAACCCTAACACTCCTTTCTTGGTTCCGGACCCCTCTCTCTTTTTTTTTTTTGTGGGCAGACGTCGAGGTCTGCAAGCCCGACGGCAGGGGCGCCCGGCAAGGGCAACGCCGATGCGTCGGCGGCGGTGGGGGGCACAACAGCGGAGTCCGAGCGCGCATCGACCGGCGGCAGCAGCAGCGGTGCTGGTACCGGAGACAAGAGCAGCGCCAGCGCGGCGAGCGGCGATGCATCGGCCACCGCTTCCTCTTCCGGCGGCGGCGGCGGTAGCGCTAGCACGGAAAAGGCTTCGACCCCCGTGAAGGAGACGGCAGCGGCGGCGGCGGAGGCGGAGGCGATGGATTCCGATGTGACACCCGCGGCGAGTGATGCCGCACCGGCAGAAGGCGGAGACAAAGCGGCGGGCGGGAAGGACGGGGAAGGAGCGGCGAAGGCTGATGAGGCCGCGGTGGCGCAAGAGGTGGTGAGGCTTGGGAAGCGGGGTCCGTCGTCGAGCGATGCCGAGGGGGGCGGCGACGCTAACGGGAACGCCGACGGAGGTGGTGGCGAGGCCGACAAGGACAAGGCGTCGTCGGAAGAGAGGGCCAAGAAGTGAGTCAAACGCTCTCGGTGTGGGTTAAGGGGGCAGGGGGCTGCAGTGCTGCGGTGGGATGTTTTGGGGTTGTGTTTGCAGGAACACTTAGTGCCGGCACGTTCACTGGGCAGGCTGCTGCAGCCTTGCTAACGGCTCCTCTGTGTTCCGTGTCGAACGCGCCGCTTTTTATCTCAACCCAATGATGCACCATCTCAATGATGAGAGACAAAAACAACACGAAAGCTCGGATGTGTGTTTTCTGTTGGCATCCGACGGCGCTACGTGTCCTGCGAACGGATGAAAATTCATCGGCCTCAGCTACGCGTGTTTGCGTGGGCAGTTTTCGTCCGGGTGGGGGGGCACGCATCAACAATCGGTCACGTTCGTGTGATGATCGCGGTCTCGCACGAAGCGTTTTCGCCGTCACGATATTCCGGCACTGCTAAGCGACCCTCTCGTCTGTCTGTCTGCCTGTCTGTCTGCCTGTCTGTCTGCCTGTCTGTCTGTCTGTCTGTCTGTCCGTCTCGTTTTCCTTCCGTGCAGGAGGAGGAAAGAGGAGGCCTGAGGAGGGGGGGGTACCTACCTGGCTGTCAGCGTTTTTTCTGACCATAGCATGAGAAGATGAGCAGAAACGGGGGACTGGTGGGGTGCGAGAACCCCACGTCGCGCTCGGGGAGGTCTGCACCTCCTGTGCATCAGATCTTCTGTTTTTATTCTCTAGCGGTGGCGAGTAAGGGTGCCCTGCGGAATATTTGGGAGCTATTTGGGGGGGGGGGAGGGAGAGGGCCGCACGCGGCTGATGATGAGTATGAGAAAAAAAGCCGGCAACAGCAGAAGGAGTAGTGTGATTATTAGGTCCTTCGAATTTGATGGCCGGTGGGGTAGTTGGGCCCAGCTCCGTGCACGATAGCCGCAGGAGACAGCGACAGGCCGGGCATACAATAAATATATATCAGTTTTAGAAGGCGTTGGTCGGTAGCGGTGGGGGGGGGTGGTGGGGGGGGGCGATACTCGAAACGCTCCTCCGTCCATGCTTGCCCCACGATCCCGCCGGGTTCCCCCCTGACTTTCTGGCGAGTTTATTCTCTGCTTCGGATGGATCCGAGGAAAAATCGATGTAAAGGGCCCGGCGGCGAGGTTGTTTTCTCTAGTACAGCAGTATACGCATACGTGCATACTACGTCGATTTGGGGGCGGGTCGGTCTTTTTGACGAATGGTGCACGGCTGGTTAGCCTCAGCATCGCTGCAGCCGTCGCGTTAGGATTGGAAAACGTTTTTGTGGGCTCTGCCGAGGGAGGCTGCAGACACACAAACGGAAAATCACGGGGTTGGGCAGTGGGAATAGTACCGGGATTGGTGGTGGCGGTGGTGGTGGTGGTGCTATGTTAGTGGGTTGTGGGATGCCTCCGGCCTAGATTGATCTCGTACCACCCTGCACGTACCTCCTCTCAACGAGACGTTGAGCTGAAATCCGCCCGCTCCTCCTGCGTTGGCGTTCACCTCCATGCGGTGCGGTGTGATTTCAAAGATGCGACTCGAGATACATGCGCTTCGTGCGAAGGCATGGAGATGTCGGTAGACGCAATGGGGGGAAGGGGGACTACCTATGTACCCGCCCACCATCCTCTGTCAGATTTCAACTATCGTTGTGTTTTTTCTTGTAGAAGGCGGTCGGTGAGGAATGGGACTGGGCTGAGATGGGCTTGAATCGTGCCGGTGTGGGACGAGCTGCTTCTGGTTTCGACGGGGTCTAGAAAAGGCGGTGTGTCCGCGTAGTGTTTGTTCGAACAAGCCTGGATACGTGCCGGCAGACCGCGGGAACATTGGTTAGCTGTTTATGTAGCCGTAGGTAGGTAGGTATGTACGTACGTGTGTTGGTTTTGGGGTGTGAGCTCACGTCGGCATTCTTCGCAGGCTTGCCCAACCTTGACATGATCGCAGACAGACCTACCTGCTGCTATCTCCGTGTGCGGTGGCAGCGATTTGGGGTGTAGCAGGTGGGGATCTCGGCGGTACGGGCAGCGCAGCAGCACGCGATCGATTATCGCTTCTTCTTTGGAACGAACGTGGGTCATCTCTCTGGAATCTTTCCATTTCTTGGAGATACAGGAGATACATACGCCGCTTTGTGAAGTGAAGAAAAAGAGGAGAGTGTTCAACTGCTTCTCCTCCGGCTGCTGCTCTATTTTTTCCTTCGGGATTGGCGGCGTGAGTGAGGTGGTGGTTGTACGCGTAGCAACACGGTTGTTGGGTTGGGGGGATTGTTGTACGAAATAAAACATGGCGGTGCTTGCTTGAGAGAAGGAGAAGCTGCCTGTCTGTGCTCGCTTGCTGTTATTATTGCTGGTTGTTGTCTGAAAGTAAAAAGGAACTGCAGCAGTGACGACCCTCTGTCCTACTACATACTGTAGTGATGGCACCATGTATGTCCATGTCATGTACAACACATGTACCACATCATACATAGACTAGATATACATCCGGGCCGCACGACCTCAAAGAAGACATTTATTCGCCGATCGATCCACCACGCAGTTTATATGCGTTTTTTTAATCTCTTTTTGTCTGTCTTTTGTGTGGCGCAAGGATAGACTACACGATACGATCCCCCAACATGAGAGTGGCAAGACAATACAAAGATTGCTGGGAATGCCATGGACATGCCAGGTGATCTCTGTCTATGTGTGGCGCATAGAATGAAAGGAGTTGTAATTATCTCTCTGGCATTCCATGCAAGAAGTTAAAAAATGAAAACTAAATAAATGCTGGGCATGCCAGGACTGCCGGATGTAGAAGATGCAGATCATCAGCAGTGAATGAAAGTATCCTTAGATAGATACTGTGATGTCCTAACAATACCACCACAGCAAGCAGCTGTAAAGTTAATAGTGTGCTGCTGAAAATGAATGATACGGGATTTTTTCCAAAACGAACGATCGATGTTGTTGCGACATCAGCGAGGCACCTTCGCCCCAGTTTCACTTCTTTTTTTGGATATATATATTCGTTCGTTCCCCACCGCACCGCACCGCCTTCGCTCTCACATTTTGGCTTGTGATGACCATTATTCCTTCCCGGACTTAGTCAGTCTCTTTGAGTCCAGAGAGCTTTATTTACGTCACAACAACATGCATGTTGCTGCTGGATGGAGCAGCAAAGCAGAGAAGATTCCTTCGGTATCTTCTATCGCCTTCCAATTTTTTCATTTTTTTTCGGTTGATTTCAAAAATTATCTATGATTGATCAATCAATCATTCAATCACGAAAATTACCCCGCTAGCAAACCATGAACCAACGTTTTCGCTCCGCACACAAACGATTTCGGTCGGGGCTGCTGATGAAAATCTCCGTCCACGACACATGTATGTCTCTCTCTCGTTCTCTAAAGCAGCCCATCATGATGTGTATAATGCTGTACGTATATTAATGTGTGTTGCTACTCATTGCCTTCTAATGTTCAGGTTTTCCCAGCCCTGCCAACTACCAAAAGATGGCAATTATTATCATCACGAACACACCTTCTTTATCGACTGGAGACCAACCATGGGCCGCGCTCCCTCGCTCGGCACTCCGAACACTAGTCTAAACCAAAGTCATTTGTTTAAATAAATTCCGGCAAGATGTGTGCAGCTCACATTTTTTTTTTTTTGTCTTCACTTCAAATCAGCGCTCACAGCACTAGAGTGCCGTTTACTCCAACCCGTGGTCACATACGCCGGCCTTTTCATGGGCCACAAGAGGAGATGATATGAGAGAGTGATGAGCCGACACCTCTGTCTGACGGAGAGCGAGAAAGCGCTAGAAGTCACAAGGACAATCACAAGGTTTCTCTCCCTCAGACTCAGCCACAGCTATATATATAGCTAGCTGGACCGTCCCTAAAGATCCAAGCGTGGTTGTGTCTTTTACGTTGTGTGGGTTCCCCTCAACAACCCCCCATCAACCGTGCCTGCGGTACCGCGTTTGCGTACCATCGTAATGAAAAAACTTGGCCGACGAGACCGGGCGCCAATAGGTCGGTTCTTCGATTCTTCCAACAATCCGGAACAATAAAGCAGGGGTTTCAGCAAAAAATGTGTCGGGGGGGATCTGGGGACATTTCGATTTGACCGCTCAAGAAAGTGGCGGAGTGGAGGTTTGGCAACACAACAAACATCGATCGAAGGATAATAAAGAGTTGGCTGCTTGCCGGTGTTTGTGTGAACCCGGAAGAGGCAAGGGGGGGACTACTTCTGAGGGCGGTTTTGACTGATACGCTGGGACGGACGGGAGGAGTGAAAGGTGGCGGGGGAGGCGTGGCGTGTCTGGTTGTCGCAGGCGCTTGAGGACGATTTTTTTGTGGGAAGAGGGAGCGGCGACGGCCGGGGCACAACTTGTCTCGAATTCACACATCAAATCGACTATAGTTTTTTTGTATTTTGGCTCCAACGTCCACACGCGAGAGAGAGACAGAAGAAACAGAGGCCAAAAATCTCGGCGCTTCAGCTCGTTCGGAAGGGCTCTGGGTGAGTGCGGCGGCTAGGCGTTGCAGCCATGGACAACACCGGGGGAGGCGAGCCGGACACGTCGGACACGATAGACGTGCTCAAGTGCCTGCGGTGCGGCCAGGAGGGGTGCACAAATGTGCCGGGCCTGGGCTATCAGGGCGAGGGGCCGACGATGTGCACGGAGCACGCGTCGCCGGCCATGATCCAGATCGTCCACCTGAGGTGCGAGCACGGAGACTGCACCGCCAGGAGGACGTTTGGCTTCGACGGCGCCTCTGCTCGCCTCTGCGCCGTGCACAAGCTCGACGGCATGGTTGACTTGATGAAGCGGAGAAGCCAGGTGCGCCCGAGAGAGAGACACACACACACACACGTATACTTTGTTTTGTTGGGACACATCCATCTAATTTTTTGGTCCTTTGTAGAGGCGTCCTGCGGCGCACTAAAAATAAGACGCTCCCACATACAATATTGAAGCGGATTTTTTCGTCAGACACACACACACACACCCCGTTCCCGCCGCGAAGTCTGTGTATGCATGCCACTCAACGTACACTTCCTGTGTTACCCCCTGGACATGTCTAGGGTAGGTAGCCCTCGGGACGCACAAGCGCATGCTGCTGCTGCTGCTGCTGCTGCTGCTGCTGTTGTCTCGCAATTATACCCTCGCCTGTGCTGTCTCTCGCCCACCGCTGTAATTCGGTTGGGGACCACAACTGAAATCAGTCGTGAAGGGGAGACCAAAAAAAAAAAAGAGCCGAGAGAGAGAGAGAGAGAGAGAGCGAAGACGGCCGCCTCGGCGAGATGAAAGAAACACAAGAGCATCGGCTTTCGCTTGTTGTGCTGTAAAGAAGCCGCTTCCGCACCCACACAATGGTAGTACCGCTGTATCCACGAGTTGGGGTGTCGCGCTCGGCACGTTTGTGATGTATTGGCGAACAACAACACCAACAGCAGTACCAGTAGGCGCGTCATTGTAACCTAAATAGGCAGAAGCAAGCGTAAACAACCATCGGAGGTGGTGCTCTTCATCAGGCGGTGGTATAATTTTATACCCTCCCGAGTTGTGCCGAGGCTACCGCCAGACCGCCAGTGACCTTGCCTCCCTCCTCCCCCCCCCCCTCCCCCTCACCGCCCTAGCTAGTCGTTGACCGTGGCTCATCAGCCGCTCCCTCTCGCTTCGCTCGAATAAATAATAAAGCCGATTTTTCCAGCGTGTCCGTTGGTGCGACATTTTGTGATCACCTTTGAAAACTTACGACGGCGTATGCGTATGTAGATGTGTGTGTGTCTTTAGGTACAGTTCGGGAGGCTGTGTCGGCGTTTGCCTCTCTTGGCTGAACGCTGGTATTGGGAGGCCGCCTGCTTTGTCATTGTATGTATGCAGGCAAGTGTGTTGCGGCGAAGTATAAATCGGCCTCCTGCCGTTCCCTGTGCAGTGATGTTTTAGTTGGCGCTGTGTCTTCCCCAATTATTGCAATCGATCGGCTTTCGAAAATTCCGAGTTCTGTGTTTTGAAATTGATTTTTTTCCCCCTTTGTAAAGTTTCAAATATTCGGCTCAGTTTCTTCCCCACCGCTCGCCCTAATAGGCCTTTTTTTTTTCACGGCAGAGGCATACAGCCTCTATACCCTGTTGATCTATCTTATCATGATCTCCACGATGCCGCCGCCCACGTCTCAATGTTTGTGTTTTCCAAGTGGGCGTACGGAGACCAGGCGTGCAGCAAACTACCGTTATGATGTCCTACGAACTGCCAGACTAACGAGTTCGGTGACAGCAGCCGTAGTCTACTCTGTAGGCCGCAGCCAATTACTTCCTCCACAGATGGACCCTTTATTTCCTGAGAATGTGCGGTAGATTTTATTTTACCGGCCATCTGTGGCTCCCGGGGGGTGCGATCGGGCGAAGAGGGGAAAAGACAGCAGGCGCGCGGCGTGAGACCGGCAACGGTAGTTTTCTCGCCTGTGTGGAAACGGCACAATCAAATGCCCCGCCTCGCGACCTCTTTTTTCTCCTCTTTAGCCGCTCGAGTGTGAGGTTTGAATTGCATTAAGGAATAATAAAAAACACACACATTGCATGTATGTAGCAATTGAATTTCAAGTGCACCAGCCGTAGCAGCAGCAGTGGTTCATGTGCCGACGATAATCGGTACGTCCACAAAAAACTCCCCGAGACGTTATGGTAGTCGCTCCCCCGAAGAGGTTGAAGGCGTGCTGTATCCCACACAATGGTTAAAAGCGCTCCCCCTGGCCCGAGCGAAACAACCATGACCTGTTGTCCGCGCTTCTTGGCTTTGCCCCGTGTCATGCTCCGTCCTCCGCGCATGCCGCTTCTTTTTCCTCCTCTTGTTGTCATCGAGAATAGGCAAATTCGGCGTGTGTTTGCGGTGACAATTAACTCTTGTGGAGTTGTGGAAGACACGGACCAGCGTCGGAATTTATTTGGAATTCAGTTTTTATAACGCACCGGGTGTGAAATTTATCACAATTTGTGACCCTAATATTTTACACGGAGAAGATTGTTGTTCACCAATGCACGCCAAAAATGGGTACTGCTGCTGTTCGTATGCGTAGAAAATGTACCTGTTAGATGGTCTGGGTTGATGTACCGAGGGCTCGCCGCCGACTTGTTCAGACCCCGGAGCCTCAGGGGGGAGTTCGTCTGCTGCTGGGCAAGGGGTAGCACGTGCGCGTCGGCTTAGTCGTAGTTGCTACTGCTGTTCACGAGCCAACTGACCAAGTACAACATGTCGACAAGCCAACACACACACACGCACGCACTATACGCCCGACGTTGTTGTTTGTTCATCACCCGACAATGGCACTGCAGGAGCGAAGCGCCTGGCGTAGAGTAAGCAGCACCTTAAGCGAACCCCGTTGATTTCCGCACTTGGCGACAGACTCTCCGGTGTATCAAGGGTCGTCGGTTCGATGCCACCATTTTCTTGCTCGGCGGGTCTAAATATAGCACACACACAATCACCTTCACACGCACATTTTTTTGTTCCGCTGTCGTCAAGGGCTTGGCGTCTTGTCATTGGTCAGCCGGTTAGCGTCGTCGACGCGACGCTTTTTTTTTTATAGAATCACGAACACAGATACATACAGACACACCCACGCACGCACCGCTGCTCAAACGCATACTGGTATCTACATACAGCTCAACGCATACCACGGAGTTCGGGCTAACGCAGTGCAAACAGCTACACATACCATTAGTAGCGACGGAGGCACTTCGTCGCTTGCTTTCAACTCTGATACCGGAGGGATTGCATGTCTATATTTCTACGGCAGTAAAGGAGTCTTATCTCTGTCGGCATGTTCATGAAAACACGTGAAATCCATGCATGTATGCATAGCACAAAAAAAGGCGCTTTTTCGTGCTCGCTTTTTTGCTTTTTTTAGAGTTGTTGCGGAGGGTCATCATGCCACCCGTCGCCTGCTGTCAGCGCCGGGAAAAACCATGGGTGCGCCGCCTCGGCTATCTGTCATCAGGCATGTAGCGCACCAATCCGGCAGCACTCCATCGCTCATCTGATCCGCAAGCTGGATGACAAATGTAACAGTGGGAGAACTCTTCGTTCCTGTCGCGTCCGTTGTTTTCGACGACCTAAGATCAAGACATTGTAGCGCCCTACAGCAGTAGTACGGCAGCACCCCGGCGTATTATATATATATTCCGAAAGCTGGGTGGACTACTTTGTATGCACAGAGTGGGAGTTGGGGGGCTCTTGCCCCACCCGGGGGTATTGAGCAGCTGGCAGTAGCACGCTCATAACGAGGACTGCTGGGCTGGGCCCCGATCGTGGGAAGTATGGCTCGCCATGGAACGAAAATGGTTATGGAATGGAAAAGGTCGCGATCTGCTTCGTGATAAGAAAAGTCATGTCAGACGTGTCGCGTACTACGCACCTAGCGTACCGAGTATGGCTCGCCATGGAACGCAAGATTTTCACGGAATGGAAAACGGTCCCGATCGTCGTGCTCAGAGAAGTTTAAGTAAGGCGTGTGGCGTAGCACTACTCTGTACCCACTCTTCCCCGGAAAACCACCCATGTTCCTATCTGGTACGGTTAGAACGCCGCCGTCGGTAGTGCCGGTATTGGAGGACGCAAACGCACGTCTCTCGCTCGACGCTTGGTTTGATTGTAATGGAGAGCATGCCGACGACCAGCTTTCCTCGTAACCAGGGCGTGAAAAGGATAGGATCGTAGGGTTTGTTTGCCTCCGTACAGCCAACGGGAGAGAATGTGCGGGTGTTCTCATCCGCCCTTGTCTCGGCCGTGTTGGTGTTTGGCTTGTATATACCAACATGAGCAGAGGCGTGACTACTACCTTTCGGACTAAAAGAGGCATCGGGTGTGGTTTTGTCCCCTTCCATGTTTTTGTCACGCGCGTGACGAGTTTCTTGCCTCCAACCACCTGTGACATGAAGAACATTTAAATGCCTCGTAGCCGGGGGCAAGAGACCAAGAATCTCCTTCGCCCGCGATTGTGCCACGTTGAAGATTCGCAACTTTGTGAAAGATTGGGTCGACTCCAAGTCTGTCTCCCCCCGGCGCAACAGCGGAGGAACATAGAAATATAGCTCCCCTCTCTATATGGTAATGGTAGTGGAATGTAGGCATCTCCGGAACTACAAACGCAGTGTTTTCTGCGTGCATGGTACAGCAGTGGGGGTGCATCGATTTCGGAACGGGCGGCAGCAGCACCTTGCAAGAAGCTGTGGGTGTATACGTTTTGAAGGTTTCCATGGGACACCTGACCACACCCACCATGCCTTCAGCCCTCAGCCGAACGAAACGAATTTTTTTCAGGTCACCAATCTCTGCGCTCCTTCCAGCTGCCAATGGCGGAGATAAACGTGGCGGTAGGCCTACGTGCTGCTGTCTTGTGATGTACATACCATGATGTGTTGTGTCAGAGCGTCGACTTTTCGTGCGCAGCGGTGGGCGAGTGGGTCACGTTGGGTGTAAAACGCTGTTTTGTCTGATTTCCTTGGAAAAATTAATGTCCAAAAAACGAGAAGATAGAGGGAAGAGACAGCAGTCCGGGCTTGATTTCTATGTTGTTCCGGGCTTGAGGAAGACCACATCCAAAGTGAGGTGCCTTACGGCAGTTCATGGGTTGGTTGATCAACGCTAAACCCGGCTTTTACTTTCTTGAATACCAACACCAAGGGCATCGATATTAAGTACCCACACATGATTCGTATCCAACTCTTACGATTCCCCTCTGTGTTTCTCTTTCCCCATTTTGCTTCTGTGTTGCGCCAAAACAACGACGGCAACTGCTGCTGAACAGTGCGTCGTGTCTAACTGCACCAAGCTGTCAACCTACGGATACGAGGGGTTCCTGGCGCGCTACTGCTTCAGCCACAAGTCCAGCGGGATGGTCTACCTCAAGAACCGGAAGCGGTAAGTTGTTTTTTCTTCGATACAGCTGTAGAGGTCCCTGCTTAGTGCCGGTATGTTCCCAGAAAATTGACCGGCTTTACTATACCGGACCTTCACTGTTCCAACTGTTGAGAATGACTTGGAAATTCAATGTGCCCGCCGAAAACACGGGCAATATTCCTGGCACCCGCTCTATTCAACCGGCACTAAACGGGGACCGCTATTGCTGCATACCACAACATATCCTGAAGTTTTCCTTGTATCACGGCCCCGCGCCCGGAAGCTTGCATGCAAGAACCGGGGCACTATATCATCATGTGAAAACAAGAAATGATTTTTTTGGTGGAGGGGCGGTTGTAGAGTGGTTTCTTTTTCGCAAGTTTGTCAAGAGTCGTGGGAGGGGACTGCAGCAGGCTTCGTGCGACTGCGAAGAGTTTAGGCCCCAGACGGCAGGATGGAGGCGTATGGGGGGGACTGTTGGGTAGGCTATTAGAACTGTTCGATGCAGCCAGCCCCTTACGTACTGCTGCGCTAAGCGTCCTGCTCGCAAAGGAAGAACCGACATTGTTCTCACCAGATCGGTCGCGCTACACTCTATCCCGCAATCGACGCATTGTTCCTGGGTGTGGCTTTCCTACATGCATACCCGTTCGATAAGAATGTCAAATGTTCTTGATCCCCACGGATGGAACCCGGAATTTTTTCCGCCATCAGGTGTGAATTCTTCGAATGTACGAGGCAGCCGACGTACGGCCAGGACGGCCAGCGGGCAAGGTACTGCTCGTCCCATAAGGAGGAGGGCATGATCGACGTCAAGAACTGCCGGTGTAAGCACCCGGGCTGCACTCGGCAGCCCAACTACGGCCACGAGGGCGGCCGCGCGAAGTACTGCTCGTCTCACAAGCTGGCCAAGATGGTGAACGTCGTCAGCCGGCGGTGCGAGTTCCCGGCCTGCAAACGGCAGGTAGGTGTGTGTTGTGTGTTGTGTGTTGTATTGCTAGGCATCGACCGCGCTAACCGGCAGGAAAATGAAGAGATGTCAGTCTTGCAGCGGGATAAAGAAAACACGAACACGATTTCTTTGACGTCAAAGGGTAAAAAAAGGGGTATGTTGTTGTTGTTGTTGTTTTTGTCTTCACATTAAACTCGTGTCAGTTGCTAATCCCAAAATCTAGCAAAGAAGTGGTCCGTGGTCACAAAAATGCTAGAGCCATCAGAAGATCCAAAGAACACGCAAACTAGCAAGAAAAGGGTACACAAGCCCGAAGAGGTACACCTACATCCCTGCAGCACGTTTGCGTGCCCAAAACTGAACTACCCGTCCACACACTTCATTCGACTACAGCAGCATCACCCCCCCTGTCCTACACTTTACCGAAATGAATGTCGACTACAACGTACAGCTGTCTGGAGTGCTGCCTGTACAATTACACCATGGTAGGCATGGTACAAGTTCGGGGCGCGCAACTGCTGTCTGAAGTGCTGTCAGAATGCGTCCGTGGACATACAGTGAAGAAGAACAACCAACCAAAGCCATCGTTGCATTTGACAATCACCGAATCTACCCCTGATCATCTGTGTTGGACACAGCCGTGTAAATAATCGACACTGATTAGGAATCGTTCCACATTGAAGGGGTCTTCCACGATGCAGGTACACAATAAAGGTACCCGGGCTATCCGCGCTCTCTCTGCCGCGGCTCTCTACAAAACCAGCGACGTCATCACATACACACCAATGTGCAGGAAAAAAAACGGAAAATATTTGACAACACAAAATGTTCGTCCGTGCGTCACGGTTCGATGTCGTCCGTGTGCTCCGGCGCCGCTGCTCCGGTGTCGCTGCGGCCAGTCCTAGCACGACCAAAATCGACCCGCTCCGTCAGTACACGCTCTCGTTGCTGTCCTTCCCAGTCGGTTCCTCTCTTTCTCCCTCGTTGCACTTAGGGTTCTTGATCTGAAAATTCTCGCGCCGAAGGATCAACCAGCCCACTCAGCTCGTCACCATCTGTTCCCTCCTCCCCTTTGATGGCGAAGCTAGGTTACTGAGACAGTACAGCTCCCTCTAGCAAACCAAGGGCCGTGTACATAGTGCCCGTCCACCTTTCTGATGGCGTCTGCCTCCGCGCACAAAACTGAGATTGCTGTCTACACCGACGGCCATGAGGCCCGCGCATCTGCATTTTTGTACCTGACGCACCAGTGCCGACCCAAGTCTACCACTACGCACGCCTCGCGGCGGGTGCGCCGCAGCAAGAAGGTATCGGTCCCTTGAGGGTGAGTCTAGCCATGCTCGCTAGAAAGACCCCCCCCCCTCGCTATGGGCCATGCCTAAGCAAAAGCCTTGCCGAGGCAGCGAGGGGAAGAAGGAAGGGGTCTATCGAGAGGGGAGCGGGGGCGCAGGAGTCACAGGGGTCACAGACAGAGTCGTGCTTTCGAACTACAAGGAGAAGATACAATGTTCGTTCTTCCCGTCTATTCTGGCGCCGTTCTACACACCGTTTGGCGTTTTGTGTTTGACGCATCAGCCGAGGGCACACAGTACTGACTTCGCACAGTTATTTTTTTTCTTGTGTAGAAAGAAGGAAGGAATTGGGCTGTTTGTATTTTTGCACAAGTGGTGTTGTAATCGAAGGGAGGTCAAGGGTTGTGCCAGCCGGCGGTGACGGCTAGCAAGCGAGAGAGCTCGCTTGACCGCGACGCGGCATGTAGTGCCCCGAATTTTGTCGCAATGCCAGCTGCTGGGGGAGTTTTCGTGTCACCGTTGAGGGATGGCTTCTAACTGGCTTGGTAGATAGCCGGTGTGCGAGGTTGTTTTTCTCGTCTGCAGTTCCTTGGCCGATTACACGCAAGGACGATGACGATGCCCATGTTTGGCGGTACCAATTTCGTCTTGGGGATCGATTTTCCGGCAGCCGCGCATCACAGTGAGAACCCGCCCCCCCGCCCTTCTTCCTTCAATCTCGTTTCAGCCCATCTACGGGTTCGAGGGCGAAAAGGCCACGTTCTGCCCGACCCACCGGATGGACGCGATGTCGGACGTGGTGAACCGGCACTGCGAGTACACGGGCTGCACGAAGACGCCGAGCTACGGCTACGTCGGGGAGCGCGCCCAGTTCTGCTCCCACCACCACCTCCCGGACATGGAGGACGTTAAGAACCGCCGGTGCGAGTGGCACGAGTGCCGCCGCTACCCTATCTTCGGGCACGAGGGGGAGCGGGCCCGCTTCTGCTCGGCGCACAAGACGGACGACATGGTGAACGTGCGCAACCGCAGGTGCGAGGAGGGCAGCTGCACCAAGCTGCCCACCCACGGGTTCCCGGGGGAGAAGGCGAAGGCGTGCCAGGCCCACGCGAAGAGCGGGATGGTTAACCTCAAGGGGCGCAAGACGACCCCGCACGCGCCCAAGCGAGAGGGGGACGTGAGCATCCGCCTCGGCGTCTCCGTCGACGCTTCGACCCTCGTCGGTAACCTTCCCGGTGGTGGTGGCGGCGGCGGGGGGGGGGCTAACGGCGGCTCCAGCAGATCGGCGAGGTCGCCGGAGCCCGATTTCGACGCCGCAAGCGGCGTCGGCGGCGGCGGCGGCAAGGCGATCGGCAGTGGTGGTCCGGACGGAGACCGAGTGGCAGACCGGCTCGGCGGCGGGTACTGGGGAGGAGGAGCGGGAGCGGGGCCGCAGGGGCACAGAGGTAGCGGAGGCGTGGGTCGAGGGCGCGGAAATGATCAGGACCCGGGGGACATGTATGCAGGTGGCGGCGGCGGTGGCGGTGGCGATGCTATCTTGGGGTGGGGACGGCAAGAAGGTAAGATCGATGGAGGAGTTATGTATCGTGTTGCAGATGTGATGAGGTCTTGGTCCCGTTCTTTTTTGACGGCGGCCATGATCTGGCCGTGTCGAGAGACGAGCTCGGAGGAGTTCCCATTTTTGTGCCCTTAGCCCTTGTGGCGGTTCGCGTAACGTCCACGCGGCCTCGCAAAATAAAATATATTATCTTCCGTAGAGCCTACCGTACCGCGAGGCGAATAGTTAACCGTACTGCGATGCGAAGAGTCCGCCGAACCGCAAAGCGAACAAACTACCCGTACCGCAAAAGCGCAGAGTTTCGTAGCGACCAGCGGTTGGGCCTGTAATAGTATGTGACGGTTTGTTGTACAACTTGCCGGACGGACACCACGGGGCGCGGACGGAGGCTCGCGGGTGAAAGATGCAGCAGACGCTCTCTGCGTTTTTTTCCTCGATCGGACCGGGCGTGTCTTGTGCCCCGCCATCTAGAGACTGTTGCATGTGCACCACCCTTGCCTCCCTTGAGAGCATCGAAGGGTTGGCGTTGCCGCCGATTTGTCTTGAGTGCTCTATAATAGGGTGTCCACCTTTGCACTACATAGCTCGTGTGCGAAATAGAGCACGCGAAGAAAACGCTGTGGGGCATCAGCAGGGCCTTTCGGCTCTTCTCTGTGTCTGTAAAACTGTTTGAGGTCCCCGCCTTGCAGCGACAAAAAATTCGGACCCTGTCGAGATTGTATGTTTTTATCCAACATGTTTGCATCATACGAAAAATGCTTCAAAGGGCTACAATACTGGGCCTGGCCGAGGACGGGATTTAGTAGGATTGTGTGGCGACAGCTCAACTTACAACTTCGTGTGCTATGATTTTTTGTTGTTGTTGTTTTTATGCTTTTTTCCTCGACACGTGACGGCGCAGGTGGCAACAACCCTGGGCCGATGGGAGTTCTCGGGGGCATAGGGGGAGACCAACGGCAGCAGCAGTACGCGTCCTCCGCCGTAGACGACCAGCAGGCGCTGCGGATGAGGCGGCTGGGGCAGGACCCACCGCAGGACGTGAAGCAGCAGCAGCAGCAGCAGCACATGCGGTCGATGCAACAGCAACAGCCGACCGGTCTTCACCGCCGTCCGCAGCAGCAGCAGCAGCAGCAGCACTTGGGCGGGACCTCTCTCGACCACAACTTTTACGGTGGGGGGGGGGTCCCGCCGGATGAGTACTCGCACCCCCTGGGCATCCCCCCGCCCCGGTCCTCCCAGCAGCAGCAGCAGCAGCAGCAACAGCGGCAGCAGCAGTTTATGGCAGGCGGGGGCGGCGGGCTGAGACCGCTCCCTCGCGACCTGCACTTCCCGGGCCACGGGGTTAGCTACCGCGACCAGCTGCAGCAGCAGCAGCAGCAGCAGCAGCAGCAGCAGCAGCACCTGTACGGCGCTAATCCGTACGGCTTCTTGCCGCACATGAGCTCCGGCTCTCAGGGCGGGTACGGCCCCGGCGCGATCGGCGGCGACAATGGTGAGGGTTTATCGGATGTGATGTGTTTTTGCGGGGTGGGGGGTATTCTATTCATGGTCTATTGGTTCGATTTAGGCTTCTATACGGGGCACTATGTGTACTTCGAAGTACTAGATAGCAAACGTCTAGCAGTGAGGGGGGTGCGGGGCGGTGTAGCAAGCCCCCTGTTTTGCGAGACATATGCATACATGCCCTGTTACATAGTTTATCACAGCATCGGGTGGCACCACTGCTTCATCCCGACTAACCAGCCGCTATGCCGGCAATATCGACTGCCGTACCCTGAATAGCGACCAGATTTCCCTCCGGGCACGAACTAGGGGTGTACCTGCCCCCTCTATCTCTCCTGATGCATCCCAACGCTTCTTCGCATCACGGATGGCTGTTCTAGTTTCACACACACCCAACCCCCCTCGTTTCACTCGGTGCCCCCTCGCTGTTTCCTTCCTCCTCGATTTTGTTTTCTGTCTTTTTCCCACACGAAATTCCATGGCAATTTCCATTAACAATAATTTTCCGTATGGGAATGATATTTTTTTTGTCCAGGCCCCGAGATCGGCGGCGGCTCTATCCCCGTGTCCGGCGTCCTCAGCGGACGTGCGATCCTTCCCCCGCCGTCACAGCAGTCATCATCCCGAGGTCCGGTGGCGCAGCCGCACGCGCGGCGACCGTTGCCGCCGTCTCCGGGCCGCTCCGGAGGAGGCATTCCTGGTATGCCGGGCAGCGGGATGCTGGACGGGGGCGGCGGCGGCGGTATGGATGTGGGCAGGCAAGGCGGGAGCCTTTCGCCGTTCATCGGGCACCAGTCGTCGTCGGCGTCGTCGCACCTGCGGCTCCCGTTGCCGCCGGCCATGAACGGGCCGTTCCAACCTTCGTTTCAGGCCTTGGACTGGGATGACCCGAGTGGAAGCGGCGGCGGAGGGCCGGGAGGCGGCGGAGGTGGTGGCCCAGGTGAGGATGGCTAGGCATGCGTACTGCTGTAGGAGGATGGTGTGAGTCGGAAGTAGATGGGAGCAAGCAATGCGGTGTACGGTGCATACATAGATTGGAGGATGGCATGAGCATGGAAGCAGATGGGAACGAGCAAAGGGGGCGCACGGCCCAAAACAGGCGCCCATTGATTGTCGCAGAAATATCTCCAGGGAACATGATGCATATCTACCTACTACTTGGTTTAGTACGCTTGGAATTCAGCCTCCCCCTTGAGATCGGCGGCGACCCGTGGTGTCCCGCCTCGCCTGAAAGGAGGGGTCAACTTAAGTGTGCTCATGGCACGGACCTCGTTCCAACACTTGCTCACGCTGCCGACCAATCTCGCGGCCCGGCCTCATTTTTCGTTTTCGTTTTTTTATGTGGTTGGGTGCCCCGCAGGTGTAGGGGTGCAAGGCGGCGGGAGTGCTGGTGGCGGTGGGGGGTGGCCCAGCGAAGCGGCAGTGCCGCTTAGCCACGTGGACTACCCTCACCAAGAGGCGGGGGACATGGGAATGGGCCGTGACGACGGCAGGCGGGGGGGGGACCCCGCGGACGGAGGTTTGGACGTGGAAGGCGGCGGGGGTCCGGGGGGCGGGGGCCCCGGGGGCTTCGGGACACGCTTGCCGGGGGTCGATCTGGGGCAGGGAATGATGCCGCACTTCGACCGGATGCACGGCATCGGCGGCGGTAGAGGCTCGTCGCCGGGGCCGTTCCACTCCATGGGGGCGGACGTCGGCGGCGCCTCCGGCGGGGGCGGCGGTACGGGTGGCCCGTCCGGAGGCGGTACGGGAGGCCCGTCCGGGGGCGGCGGCGGCGGTGGCGGCGCTATGCACTCCTCTTCCTCCGGCGCCGGCGGCGAGATCGACGCGTTGAATGGCGGGGGCGCGGCCGGGCGGTCGATGTCGCCGCTCATGTCAACGCTGGGGGGAGAGTCGGGAGAGACCCCTCCCGGGCTCGCGAGGCTGAGGACGACGGGGGGGATGAGCAGCGAAGGCGGCGGGGGCGGAGGAGGAGGAAGTGGAGATCACCACAACGACGAGGCCTTGTCGTACCCGCCGTCTTCGTACCTTCCGAGCAGGAGCGGCGGCGGTGGCGGCGGTGGCGGGGGCGGCGGCGGCGGCTCCTCTTCAACCGGTCTCGGCAACGCGCTTCAGCACGACGTGCCGTCCCCCCCCCGACACAACCCGGAGCGATCGTCGCCTTCGTTTGACGCCCTGTCGGGCACCCCCGCGGCGGGCGAAGTCGACGGGCCCTCCGGTTCCGGCGGCGGCGGCGGCGGCATGAACTCGCGCGGGAGCGGGAGCGGCAGCATCGGCGGCCGCCAGCCACCCCAGCAGGGGAGCGGCGGCGGGGGCGGAGAGTTCGCCCCGACCGCCGGCGGCGGAGGAGAGGTCAGCAAGACCTCGCTGGCGCCCCACGAGAACGGGGCCGGCGGGGACATGGTGCGGGGCGAGGGACGGGAAGACCGGAACGCCGCTGGCGGAGAGGGGGAGGAAGCGAGGAAACGGCTGAGGCTCGGGGAGCTGAACTAAGTTGCTGCCGTGATGGGGACAGCTTGTCCCTCGGGTCGGGGCGTGGACCCGGGTTTAGCCTTGTTTTGCCGCTTCGTTTCCTTGGAAGTCGTCTCTCGCTCTCTCTTGTAAGGATGGGTTTTTCGGGCCACGTGTTGGCTCGCCCGCGCGCACATGCGTGGGCGTGGGTGGGAGAAGAGAGAGAGCGAGAGAGAGAGAGCCCTTGTCCTCCCGTTTCGAGCACGCCACCTCGCCCACAAGGGTTTGTTGGGGGGACTACTTGAGCGTGCCTAAAGCCGAGCCCGCCCATCCCCCTCCCCCCGCCGTGTCGAGGTGGAGAGAAGACTGGCATGATAGTGGTAACAGCTTTATTTCTGGAAGCGAGTGGTTGGGTCCGGCCGTCTGGCCGGGGGTGGAGATTTGAGAAGTGGATTGTTGTATTAGTTTGAGAGTCTCTGTTGTTTTTGTCCGATGGCCTGATGTTCTGGTCCTTTTACCCTCCGCTGCTGTTTTGAGGCACGGAGTGTTTTCTCTCGTTGAACCGCCTCCGATTTTGGCGCCCCCCTCGCGTGCTTGTCCCATGCTTCCTCCGATGGCGGAAAAATTCTTGCTGTTGCCACCGCTGTCGGCTCGATCGACGTCCTTGTCTACGTTTACGACTCCAGGTTAACCGCAATCAACCAATTGTTGTGTGGGCGGATGATGGTATGTCTTTTTTGTTTCGCTCCTATTTTTTTGGTTGCTAAGTTTCTTTGGCCTTATTTTTTGTCCTTTTTGTCGTGTGTTACTACTGGTTCGATTGGTAAAAAAATCACCCCTCGTCCTCTTTTGTGAGCGCTCAACTGTCACCTACGGTTGGTTCTTGTTGGGAAACGCAAACGAATGGGAGAGGAGCTGAGGCAGAAAGGCAAGGGGGTACACTTCTTAGTACCCGTTTGGTGGGGGTTAAGTGGCACCACATACAATGTCGACTTGGGGGAAGGGAGGTGGGGGGGGGGGGGGGGGGGGGGGGGTTAAAAGAGTTTTTGCCCCGTGGGGAGCCCCCACCCCCAATTTTTGGGGGATTACCTTTTAATTAAAAAAAATCACCCCCCCCCCTAAAAAAAAAAACCTTGGGTTAAAAATCCAAGGGGTCCCCCTTTTCCCGTTTTTTTTTTTGGGGGGGGGGAAAGGGCCCCCCCCCCCCCCAAAAAAAAAAAAAAATTTCCCGCCCCAAAAAAAACCCTTGCCCCGGGGCCCCCTCCTTTTTTCCCCCCGGCCCCGCCCCCCCTTTTTTTTTTTTTTAGGGGGGGGGGGGGGTTTTTTTTACCCCAAAAAAAAAAAAAAATCCCCCCCCAAATCGGCGTTCTGGGAAAACCAAAAAAAACCTCCCCCCGGG